GGGGAGAGGCGAGACGGTTTGTCTGCCCTCCGCGTCGGATGACTCAGCTCGGTCTGACCCCGCCCCGTTCGTTCGAGAAAAATCGCGGTCTTGCTGGGCCGCAGATGTGGGGTGAGGAGGATCGTCTGCGAAGCCGTGCTTCTGCGGGGAGAGCGCGCGCCCGGGAGCCCTGGATGTTTGCTTTCTTTTTCTTTTCTTTTTTCCCTCGCGGCGTTTCTGCCGCCCGTTGTCGCAAGGATTTGGCGGCGCGCTCTTGTTTAGCGCTCGTTCTGTGACACCAGTCTTTTCCCGTGAGCGCGGGCATCGGCATCCCGTTCTTTTGAACTACCACGACGGGCAAGGAAACCATTTTGGTCCATCAAAATGTTTGCTTTTTCCAGTACATTCAGCTTTTCCTCTGGTCTACCTATGCCTCGACTCATAAGCTTACACGTACTAGACATGCAGAAAATGCTGCTTGCGCAATATTTGTGGTACTGTTGTGACCGCTGAACATTTATCAATTAACATAAAAACAGTCTTCTTTTCAATGGCTGGATCTGTGCCTTAAACATTTCAATTTTTGTTCAAAGAAAACACCATGTGGCAAAACAAGTCTTCAGATTCGTCATGCGTAGCAGTGAGGTGACATATTTGACATACATTGTTTTAGGACCTTCCTTGCAGACAGCTTTCACATATTCCTTTTTTTGCTGTTTCGGCAAGGGTGGTTTCAATACCGAGACACCTTGACAGCTGTCTTTTAGGCCATTAGAGTTTCTGTCTGACTGCTTTGACAGCGAGAGCTGATTATGAGATCTCAACTCGCGTTTCGCGCAGCACCGTAGTTGTCCGCCGTCGCCGCCACCGCCTGTGTCCGTAAACAGGTCGCGCAAGATTAGAAAAAAAAACCTGGCACCAATGAAACTGTGGGGCTCGAAGTCGGGTACGCTGGGTGCCAGCCTAGTATTCAACTTCTAAGCCACGCCGATGCTTGGGACTTGTTGGCAAACTTGCCTTAGGCAGGCCTGATGCCGGGAAAGCAATCACGTTATTACGACAAATAAAGTGTAATAAAACAGTGAAAGAACAACCAGTCGTTGCACAATGCGAATAGCGTAACAAGTGGGTCGTGCCACAGTAGAACACCTTAACAAAAGCTTGTTATTGTTCAGCTATTAACTGTGGTGAATACCAACTTCAGCCGTGATTCCTCATCGTCTTCAGGCACTGCTGGAATAATGGACACAAAATTTCTCGCAATACTTCTGAAAACAGCGCTTCTCAGAAGGATGGCGAAAAATAGCATACCAAACGTCGGCCTCCTACCCTAAAATCTTAATTTTATAATGCCTTAGTGGGCATCAAACAAGTGTGCTGGCAGCAGTTACCCAGTGAGTGTTTAGAAACATTTCTGAAAGGTTGCTCTTCTAGCTTTCACTGTGACTATGCTGCGCATTCCTCGCAGGCCGGACGTTTTTTTTCTTTTTTCCACACTGCTGACAGGTCAGTCGCAACTTTTTTTCTTGACCATCTTTCGATCTCGCAACTGGGCTTTATTTTCCCTATAATTACCCCGCTTACTGCGATAGATGTTCACGCTTCATGGCTTTCCGTCATTCGTGTATTTGATTCACTTGTTAGGCTGCTAGCTCTTTGTCTAGTGACATTCGTCATGCCAGTTCGAACGCATGTGTACACCAGTGTCTAGTATTTTCCTTAGGAGATGATTTCGAAATATTTTGAAATTAGTCTCTTGCTAGGTGCATCAGTGTGGCAATAAAGTCTGACACTTTCATTTTCTTGTTGCATTTGACGGCTAGATTTACAACATTCAGCGACATTTGAAAGAGCTTAGCCTAATTGAGTTGTTAGAAGCTGGTTAATGTTTTCATGGGTTTTCTGAGTACGCATATCAAGAAGTCAGATATGTCGGCAAAACTTGAGGAGGTCACGCGGACTTACTCATGAAATACATTTTGAGCTTTCAACTCACCCGGACTCACACTCTCGAAAATGTTCCTGAGCCGGACTCTGTCGCACTGACACTCACGAAAATTTTGTTCAGCTGGACTCACTCAGACACAAACCTACCAAAACATTACTTACCCTGACTTACTCAGACTTGGATTCACAGTTTGATCTCAGTCTGAGTGAGTCCGAGTGAGTTGACTCATGGACTCATGAGCTCGGCAGCCTAGAGTGAGCATCTTCAATGGTGGTGTGAATGCTCTTTAACACAAATATCTGTATTAATCGGTGCTCTTGTTGGTGTCTTTTGACATTGTATCCCTGAAAACAAATTCTGAGTGCCTGAAGGCCAGAAAGGTCATTTTTCTTGAAAGAGATCACAGCTAATAAGGTATAATCATCAAGAAGTTTTCTGGAAGGGTTGGTGGGGGTGGTCAACGTAATTCACGCCAATAGTAATTCAAAATCGAAACGGTGTTTTTCCTAAACGTGATTCGGAATATCGAAACGTTATTTCGGAATACTTGTGAGTATATGTGAGTATAAATGTGAATCAAGGTAAGGCCGATAGTATAATGCTAAAGAGGACTAGGTATTATCAGGATACGTATCTTTTTTTAGTTCATAACTTTTTGTGCCGTCAACGTTAGGAGATGACTTCAGTTTATTCTTTGGTGGGGCGTCATTTATGTCGATGACGTTCTCTAATCGCTAAAATTTAAGCCTATATAGTCACTTATTTGGTTGAACTCTGAAATACAACCAAATTCGAGACCGGGACATGCTTGAGCCATTAGGAATTAACTTCACTTATCTGTAGATCCAGCACTCTGATGCGTGTTGCACGTATTTGCCCTTTTTGTACGACCGCTCTGGCCAGCGCTGAAATCTATGCAAGGACTCTGCTATGCCCCACTTTCTCGGTATCTAGTACTTTCTGTGTTGCTCCAAGCTGTCCGTAAAGACTTGGCGGCAAGGGCTCTGTGTCACCTTGCACCATGTGTAGCCGAGTGTCACGCCTAGTCAGGCGCGGTGCTGTCAATGACATGTGGATGCCATCTTCGTCGCCAATAGTTCTATACAAAACAGCACGCAGATGCTTCACTAGCAGCATTGCAAAAAGAACTGTCATTGCAGGCAGCAACACACTTTTGTAGATAACGCTGCTCGTCGGGCAAGCATGCATCATCAATGGTCGCATTTTATCTGGACACGGGCTCGACACAAAACAGAAACATTTATGAAAAAGAACGTTAATAAATTGAAAATATGTCATGAAATTGTAGTTCACTTTGCGTGCAGTTGGTATGACAACATACCATCACCGCAACCCATGCTGACCTGTAGCACGCGATCTAAGGAAAATGGACATTCACGTTAGAAATTTCTATATTCCATAATGGGCCAAGTTAAGGCTGCCCAACATTCTGTTGTTCAATTCACCTGCACACGTTAAAAAATGAGTAGGTGTGACTCTTTCAGGGGGTTTTGGTTTGCCACGCAGAAGACTCCCTTTAAAAGGCACGGTGACGCTATGGTGGTTCAAAGTGAGCGCGCTGTAAGAAAGTGTCTGAACCCTCCTGGGGAGAATAAAACGACGCTTTTTCAAAAGCTCACACTACCACTTATGACGGAGCCTGACGACTCTTGCTGGTGACGCTCCTGCAAGGGTCAAATGACAGTCACGGAAGCGTTCAGCGACTCTACAGGTAATTTTAGCTACGAAATGGACCCATGCTCTACTTCTTTGTGACCACTGTAGGAGATAGTGAACTATTCATAAAAAAAAATTCGATGATGCTTGACATTCTGTCGAGTGACTGATGAAAATTAGTTCAGTTTTATTTCCAGCAGAGCACTAAAGAAAGCGCGAAAAGATGGTATGTATTTCCGATGAAGCCGTTGAAATGTTCGTCATCTATATGCTTGTATATTACAGCGAACCAAAGTTTTTGACTGTAATGCGCATAGTTTCTTGTTCAAGATAAAGTGCACATGTCGGCATCATCTTTCTATATTTATTCCTTACGGTCATGAAGAAATCAAAATGTCGTGATTGCAAAAAAGATAGAGCCTTGTGACTTGCTACGTTGTCTCCTCCTGATCAGCGCTGGCAGCCTTAAAAAATGGTACCTCAAAATAAGAACTTGATGCCACGAGATAGTACAATTGAAGCGAAACTTGTCAAAGTCTACACGATAAATAACTGAAGCATTCATTATGAAGGCTTGCAGCAAAACATGTGCAAAGAAGCATGATAGGGAACTGTATTTTTTGCCGTTGTCTTTCAAAACACTCCTTCCAACTAGTATAGTTCAACGCACTGTTACTGTAGAAACTTCTGACACGAGTGTTTTGTTTTAAACGGTTTTGCGACAAGAAACTATCCCGTACAAAAAAAGCTACCTCGTTTTGCAATAGGCAGTGGTTATACACGAATTATAGCTCTTTTATGAGAGGAATTGTTTCAAGACACAACGATGATAGTATCAACTCGTTAGGAAATAGCATTTAGGCACCCATTGGAAGAGAATTAAAATATATTCGTGCTAAGGGTAGTTTATTACAGCGGAAGCATACAGAAGGCTACCTATCACTTTAAAATTTGCTGGTACCATTCTGTAGCGGTGGAGGGGACGGGCAGATGTCTTCCTTGGGACAAACTTTCAAGCTAGCAGTGAAATTGGAGAAAACACTTGCATGGGCAGGGGCATGTGCTCGAAATTTTGCAGTATATGCGAATAGTCCCGTAATCACTAAATTATTTCAAGCACAAGCAATTCTGACTTGAAAATTTAAAACTGAGACAGACGTTGATATTTGTACTACTAACAAGGGTTTTTGATGCATGTGTTTGCTTTGTGGGCACTAGTATTCATTTTTTTTTTGTTGGGGGACAGTGTTGTCGGCATGAAAGATCTGGCCGCCCTTCTCATCAGAGCGGGATAATAATGCTTCTGTTGTAGCGGCTTCTTGCAGAAAGAAAATTTTGTTGCCGCCAGGGCGACTGCATGATAGAGAAGCAATTATTATCGGTGCTGTGCTTGCAGGTTCCAGCCCTGCACAGTCACTGCCACAGCAAGGTAGGAGCGAAGACTGGGCCTTATCTGTACTCAGGCCGCTTCTGCTGTTCTTGGTGGTTGCCTCGGTTGTAGTTCTTCTGTTGCCACTTGAGGGTGCATATAGTGCCAGCCACGAGGCCAAGCTGTTCGCTGCATACGTCCTTGGTAGGTCCATCCCATGTGAAATACGGACTTGATTGCCTGATCGGCCAACTGGTTCACCGTTTGGTTTGGCCATACTGCTGCCCTGCTGATATTATTCTCATTGTTGCACAATTTTAGAAGCTGCAGTTACAACAAGGTCAAAAAGGGATTTCTGTTTAACTACTCTGATCAACATCGGCCCTTAAATGAAACTTCAACATGTTGGCGTCTCTACCCATGATGCAATGGCGATGTGGCCGATAATAAATTGAGATGGCTGAGATACACAGGACATGTGCTTTGTGTTCCCACTAAGCAATATATGAGAATACAAAGAATGTTTTTGCACAGTTTGTGAGAACACTGGTACATGAAAAAAAGGTATGATAAACACACAAGCAGTCGATGGCTTTTTACCAAAAAAAATGTGTTATGGTACTTTATGTTAATCAGTAAACCAAGAATCTTCATCACCAATTTTCATCTCGCCACTTTCATTTTAATCATCCTCGCAGCATTGGCAATGCACCACCGTGGCGGACACTCTTTTCGTCTTACCAGTCCAGAAATGTCGCAGGCTTGTTAACTGACAAACTTTTAAAATGCCTCACCACCCTAACACTTTTTTGTCTTACCCATGACTCGCGAGTACACTTTTATGCAATTTACTTTCAAAAGTAATACCATAACCCTAATCTTTTGCTTAGGTGGTTTTGTTTTGTGACACCTGAACTTTTCACCCCATTCTCCGCACAATGGAGCTTCCTTTGGTGTGCTGTGCTTCTATCATTCTCATATAGGAGTCACAAAATGTTGGTTCTGATCGGATGCTTGAAACAGCCTATCCATGTTTTGTAGCTTTTGTTGTTTTATTAGGTCTCTATCTCCAGTTTTTTAAAACTAATTCTCTGCAAGTCTGCAGTGTTATTTCCTTGATTAGGAACACTTTATCAGAAAAACCTACGAGGGAGTGCCCATACTTATAGTGCATAGTAAAGTAGTGCGTTGGCAGAGTACTACCTCACTATACCTGAGCACGATTGAAAGCCTCAGTGTATTACGTTGTATTCAAAATGTAGAAAATTATGGAGGGTGAAGTGACCGGGTGTAGGAAATATAGTCCCCGGATTATACATCCCCGGAAAAAACAGCCTCTCTTGCATGGCTGTCTAAGAAAAAATTTCCCCGGGTGCAAATTTACCGAAAATCAAATAAACTCCAATCTTTATTTTATTCGACACTTCGCAAAATATTAAAGTGTACTGAGAAACGAATGAAGTTAAAACCGAATTGTGTGTCCAACATTCTTCAGTGAGGTAGAAGTTTCCGTCCAGAAAACAGGTGCTGCTCTCTCAAAGTAACTTCGAGCATGTTAAGCCTGCAAATACAAGTTCTCATTTTTGTTTTACTTTTTGGTGCCAGTACCGTAGCACAGGTTACTCTCTCGACGGTCGCCCGCAGTGATAGTTTGAGGTGCCAGAATAACATGGTGTCCGAGGCTGACAGGATTCGGCTTGGATATTACGCTCCGCTGCTGGCAAGTGCAGCGTTTCTGGCTCTGCTCACTGCCTATGCGGCATTTTGTTTCGTTAAAATATCTGATGGCATCTGCGAAAAGAACGGCGGGTTTTTCTTTCGAGACAAGTTCAGTCTCTTTCATTTGCTGCCTTGTTCTTGCGATATTTATTAATCGCAGCGTATCTGAAGGGTGATTGTGGTGAACGCTTCAGTGGTATAGTCCGTCGCTTGAGGGTTTCCGCGTAATTCAAACGCCTTTGCATCCATTGTGCTTCGCGCAACGCCAACGAATACCCAAGGCAGTACCTTTTTGTTTTTACATATTAGCCCATGCACAGCTTTCTGTCTACTGTGTTTGATTTTATTGTCTCCATTCTGCAAATAAGAACCGTTAGGTCAACCACAGGGCAAGTATCAATTGAGCAGCCGAAAGCGTTTGTGTAAATAGTGCTGGTTCAACCAAGAGGTTGCCTCCTGTTAAAATGCGTGGGCGCTGAACTGCCATCCCCGTTTTGTCTTCTTCAGGTGCGTGCATAGTGATAGACCGCATCTGAAATGCGCATTGTAAGGTATATTGCGTCTGACATTACACTTACACATAAAAGTTAGGATAGCTGGTATGTCATTATGGTGCTTCGTCAAAAATATTTCAGCAAACTGCAATCTACACGCACACCTTTTTTTTTTCTTTGAGAAATGGAGAATCGGCGACTGGATGGCGCAACGTTCGACGATGTCCGTGTTGTGGGCACGTTTTTTTCCGACAACGCAAATGAGGACATTTAGTCCAGGGATTTTTTTTTCTGGAGACATTTCTTCCGGAGACGTTTTTCCGGAAACCGAAGTGCCATGTAACAAAGTATATAATTTGGAAGACACAACGAGCGGTCAATGGGCACAGAAATACTTGTTCTAAAATAACGCATGATGGCATTCTCTGTATAACAATGAGTAGCAGTAAAAGCTCCAACATCTAAAAAGTTAACTGATACTCCTGGGAAGCTGCCTGTGACCTTGCTTAGCCGCAGAGAAACAAAAAATATATTACAAGTTGGTATATTGCCCATTGTTGTATTGATGAAAATGTTCAATATCTCAAAAGGAATTATAGGGTCCCTTTCAGTTTGAACTAGACAGCTTACTATATGTCGTAATAGCGTATTCTAGTTGGAAATTTAAAACAATGCAAAATACGAGAAAGAAGGAAACAGACCCAAGTGCTGACTCGCAAGGTTTATCTGTCACAATCATGCAATATATGCAGTGCTCACAAATTGAATTGAGTGTTTTAGGCCTAAGAATTTCATACGTTGGTATCTTCTATTGGATCAAGAGGAAGTCATGTTGATGTAATTTTGACTCTGACATTTACCGCAGAGCTAATCCAACTTTTATCTACTTGTTGCCTTTTAATCCATGAGCACCCTACACGCAGAATATGGCAAAAAATGAATACTGTTTTTTTTTAGTTACTAGTCCCACTTTAATGGGGCTCTGGAACGATTTTTCAAGCAACAATAAAATGAATACACTGGAAGAGCTTATTGCTTTACAAATTCAACGCTGAAAGAAGCTTAAGAATCCGTCCAGTGCGAGTCGAGTTACGAAGAATTATCGCGTGCTGCAATCGCATTCTCTCTTCTCTCGTCCCGACAAAACTTCTGGAAGCTAAGCAGAAAGAGATGGCAAGGGCAAAAAAACGACGTCATTCACGCCTCGTGAATGACGTCAGACGTTTTTATTTTTTTTCTTCGACTGCGTGGCTTTTTCTTAGTGTGATGGCGCGCGCACGCGTAGACAAGTCGCGGCCTCCCTTGGGGATCTCTGTAACGACCGAGGGCGCAATGTACAAATCAGCCAATGGCTGAAAGATGGGCTTGCTACGAGTGATTTTTGAGCGTCTTCTGTCATTTGTCGGAAGAAGGGAAAGGAATTTTAGCTGACTTTGAGAATTTATTGTGAATTCCAGGCTGCGTGCTGCACTATAATATTTGGCTCGCTTGTTGTCGTGAGCCTCTACTACTGATCGGCAGTGTTTTCTGACCATGCTCAAAAAGTGTTGCAGGGCTCTTTAAGTTGTCAAGCGTGTTTCGAGAACTCGCTTAGGAATTTACTGCAGGAGGGTAATAATAAATTGAAATAAAAATGTAATTAAATTGTTGTCCTGAACTGAAATAAAATAGCTGCAATTGCCAATAAAATTCAAATTTTTTTATCTGTGAGCAAAAAGAAGCATATTGTAAACCAATGAAAAATAGTAGTTATTGAGTCAAAACAACCTAATGTATGCAAAACACATATTTAGGTCGATGTTTAAAGCTGCCTAATGTGAGGTCATTCAAAAACTAAATACTTGTACCATTTGGCTGCAGTAATAATAACAGTAATGATGATTATATTCCAAATAACTACTTCAGTAGTGTAAAAGCAGGCTAGGAGTTTCAATACTTGTTGCTGTACTTTTTTTTCAATGTGATATTCAATATGGACAATTGTTTAATTTCATTTTATTTTACCCTCAATAACGCACAGTTCTACAGAGGGTTGTGGGGTATATAAAAAAACATTAAAGAAGAGCAAAGTGGCGTCACAGTGGTATATTTTGAAGAGTTATGACTTCTGTGTTAAGGAACACAAATGACCAGAAACTCAAAAGTATAGCAAACAAAGTATATATATATTGATACGAAAATGCGGCTAAACACGGCTGCAAGAAAGAGGAGGACGAAGTGGGTTTTTCCGTTGGATGCTGGTCTGGCGCCATCTTACTCGTCGAGTTCTGTGCGCTGTAAATAGATCATTAAAGAAGTTACTCGTAACATTATTGGTGGAGGTGGACGACCCCTGTACCTCGATGGAGACGCGCAGCGGTCGCACCATCGGTGAGCTTTCGACTGCTTCGACTGCTGGTACTTCCTCTACGCCGCCCTCGTCAGTCCAAGCCACCACCTACGTCACACTCCCGCACCTCCGGGATCCCGGCACTTTCTCCGGTGATGGTACGATCGACCTCGACACTTGGCTGAAGCGGTACGAGCGCGTCAGTGCAACTCACCGCTGGGATCCCACGCTCATGCTCGCCAACGTGCTTTTCTACCTGGACGGCACTCCCCGAACATGGTTTGAAAGCCACGAAGCCGACATAACGAGCTGGGATCTCTTCAAAGAAAAGATACGTGACCTGTTTGGCGATTCATCTGGTCGTCAGCTCGCTGCGAAGAAGACTCTTGCCACACGGGCCCAGTCTTCTACCGAATCGTACGTCTCCTACATTCTTGACGTTTTGGCCCTTTGTTCCAAGGCCGACCAGTCCATGTCCGAAGACGAAAAGGTTAACCACGTCTTGAAAGGCATAGCCGATGATGCTTTCAACCTGCTGGTTTTTAACAACATCTCGAGCATCGACAACATCCTTAAAGAATGCCGACGTCTCGAACAAGCTAAAGCCCGCCGTGTAGCCCAAAACATCGTGCGCCTTCCGAACACAGCGGCCACCTCTTCGT